ATCATTAAAGATTACCTTAATTAGATATTTATTGTTACTAAGAAAATACGAACCTGCTTTTGATATCGTAGCCCAACGTATTCAGGAAGAATGCGCAGCATACATCATGTGGTACTCCTCTTTCGTCTTCAAGTTGGTAATCGTAGGAAAACTGTCTCCGAAAGTTCTGGGTAGTAGGATTCACCTGGCCACGCCGTCGTTTTACAGGGCTACGCTTGCTGAACTGCAAAACGAACGACTTTTGTTCCGTTCCCGACAATCCCCAGAACCATGAATTGATGTCAGATCTTCTGTCACGTCCAATTTTGCCGCAACAAACTGCTCTGAATCCACAATCTTTCAAAATGGGCCTCCGGTCAGATAACCTTTTTTCCCGGCGCTCTGTTTTTCCGAGGTTCGCTTTGTTGGTGGCCTTGGCCTCGGTGCGGCTGCTACGGCTGGCTGTGGTTGTATATCGTCTCTAATCGCAGTCGGCAGATCCGGATCAATCTCATCTTCCGAGTCGGAACTACCATAGGTCAGCAGTAAATCCAGGGCACCTCTTCCGGACATTTTAATTCTTCCAAATTGAATTCCTTTTCACTATCACTGAATCTAACGAGCTTTGGAGAAAATCTGTCAACGTGACCGTGAATGTTGATACTACTTCAAACACAGTAACCTGGTTTTTACGCCAAGCTATGCGAATAAACCTTCAGCAGAACGTATGTTTGTTCGCATAACCTGGCGTATGCGTTTTTGAGATGAAATAATTAAGCAATAAATCATAAAAGCTCAGCGGCCCACTTCTGACCGTTAATCTTTACCAAATGGACAGATTATTTGAATGAAATTGTTACAAAATATTGCTTTTCGGCTGCATGCAACAAAAACGCGTTTTCCCACCAGTGATGCTGTTGGTGGTTACGTGGACTATAAGATTAGGGGCAGTGTTGTTTTGGAGAGGTAAGATTTCATTCGCGAGAAATTGACGGCTAAAGTCATTGTTTACAAAAGCAATTACGCCCCTTTGAAATATTGGCACTGAATTCCGTAGTTAATAAAAAAAAAACATGCGCACCCATTATATTTAAGTTCTAGAAATTATTACTTTTTACACATTTTGCTGTAAAAACCGTTCTTGAAAAATGTGTAAAAAAATACACTTCTATTGACGTTTGCTTGGTTTACACATAAATGTGTAAACGCAGTTTACACATTTTATGACTAGGCCCCTTTTTTACGAAATGTGTGAAATTTTACACATTAATGTGTTCACGCTGGTTACCGTGTAGTACACTTATTTACTAATGCGTTGGGTACTTTTTCTTACCGTGTAGCTCAATTTTGACCAACCCAAGGTGACTACATATAGGTGTTCTAATGTGTCAAATTCATGATTCAGCCATGTTGGATTTTGTATGGAACAGCGACCGAGTTTGTTTACAATTTGCTCTAAAACCGCACTTTTCCCCCCGCGACCTCCTCGCCTAAATAGTGACAAAGCTGTATCACCATTTATATACCCACCATGGACCAACCTTTGTAATTCTACTTATGTCGTTTTCGTTTTTGCGGTGTAGCTACCCTAATAAATTTCTTATCACGGTGTTTCGTGAATACCCATTAATGGGTAAAAAATACCCATTTTCAAACCATGTATGCAGCTGTCAAAAAATGGGGTAATTTTGAAATCATAAAATGGGTGAAAAAATACCCATTTAAAGAATCAGTTCACGGTTGAATAATGGGTATATTTTTTACCCATTAATGGGTGAAAAAACACTTCGAAATTTTATCGTCTCATTTCCGTCACCGGCTCATTGGGAATGCAAACCTCGATGCAAACAGTTACTGTCCGCAGCAACGATCTCCGGAAAATGTTAGAATCCAAAACGTTGGAGAGGCTTACGGATAAGTCAATACAATGGATAATTTGTATTATAATGTTTCGTGAAAAATTTGAGCGGAACACCTGCATTTATTGTCAATGTTTTAAAAACATTTTTACATCAACGAGCGCTTGCATCCTCCATTTGTAAAAATGGGTATTTTTTCACCCATTTTACGGTAAACACAATATAAGAAAATGGGTGAAAAAACACCCATTTATTGACAGACCACCCATTTACCCATTTATGAGTAAACCATAGTTTACCCATTAAATGAGGAGGGGCACTTTTAGCGGAAATGGGTATTTTTATACCCATTAATGGGTTTTCGCGAAACACCGTGATGGTTATTTTGCTTAACGACGTGTTTGGGGTATCATCCAAACCATTTGTGGAAAATTTCGACTATTTGGGCTATTGTTCGTAAATGGTATTTGTTTATTAGGGTACACCGGTGCTACACTGCCGTACACCGAAATATTTTAGGGTGTAGATATAGGATGCACCTTTTTTTACAAACAAATGGTGTTGAGCTGTCAAAGACTCGCGCTTATTCCTGCTTACACTACACCGGTGCTACACCGCAAAAACGAAAACGACATTAAATTTTGGTATTTTTGAAATAGCGTGCACAAATTCAAGCTGAACAATGTATTCGGTTCTAATAGCGAATTCGTTTATTATTCAGTTCCAACCTGGATCGGGTATCAAGATTGGGTCTGCTTGTTTTCTGACAAACGTCAGTTTGCTCGTTTGTTTTTAAAACCTAGCTCAGGTTGAGGTTCGCACTGACAAAAAGTTCGGTTTCGCACTGGGTTGGAACTGGTTCCAACCCCGATAATAAACGAATTCGCTATAAGTAACGTTGATCGATTCTCTCGATCGACTTTCTCTTTCGTAAAAAACTTGGGTACAGAACCGTGTCTTGTCGTGTTTGTCGAATTAGAAGCTAGATAATTGGCGTTGACGGCGACTCTGTAGCTCTTTACTCCTATGAGAAAATCCATAGAGATTGCTAAAGTGTGATTGTGTCAGTGATTTGTTTTCATCGGGAAAAATTTCCGCCATGAAGTTTTTTTTCCCGATGAAAACATTTTGCGTATACGTATACGTGACGTAGTGTGCGTGCAATAAACGTCAGCAATCTCTATAGAGTTCTCCAGATGCACAAAAGTGTGCGTGAGACCGCGCGCTACCTTTTTAAGTAGTTGTGATATCGCGATACCTTTTTGTTTCTTCTTCTTCTTCATTTTTATGTATGGATGTTGGGTTTTAGTGTTCGTGAGATTGCGCTTGGAGATCTCTATAAGCAAACGTCAGACTGTGCGTGAAACATGGCGGACTTTGTACTATCCTTTCACTCCACCGAAAATTCCCATAAGAAACTATCTAAATTTGCTGGAAGAGCAAATTTTTCGACGGTGCCGTCAACGCCAATAGCATCTTTCATCGATCTGACAATTCACCTTGACACCAGTCCCGAAGTGACGTTTCTTCACATACATTTTGACAGTTCCTTATGGGGTTTTGCGTTGGAGTGAGAGAATAAGAAAAAGTCCGCCATGTTTCACACATAGACTGACAGATACATATGAGATTTCTCCATTGGCAAATCAAAGTTGGCTCTCGTGGAGAATAGAAGAACTATGAAAGTGATGATGGTTTCAAAATTTTCCACGGGGAAGTATACGAGTGCAATCTTAAAATGCTTTTATTTTGTGAATGGAGCATTTTATTTAAATCTGGTTAGTGCTACGTTAGTAGAAAACTTCAGGACTACTCAATAGACATATAATACAGAAAACATAATTTCTTTTCAGATTTTTAGGTGTAAACATAGACTTTCGCTTTTCTACCACTGTAGCAGTAACCAGATTTAAATAAAATGCTCCATTTTCAAAATAAAAGCATTTTAAGATTGCACTCGTATACTTCCCCGTGGAAAATTTTGAAACCATCATCACTTTCATAGTTCTTCTATTCTCCACGAGTGCCAACTTTGATTTGCCAATAGGAGTAAAGAGTTACAGAGCTCTCGTCAACGCCAATAGCTGACAATGTCTTAACATGAAAGTGAGGATGCAAAAAGAAAGTTGACGAAGAAAATTTGTTAATGTTTACATAAGGATTTAATAGACGAGTGCACGGATGGATTTGAGTTCACTCACTCAACAAAAAGTGACACAACAGCGGGGCCCTGTCTACTTAAAATGAACACATAAATAATACTCACGTAACATTTGAAACGGGTCTATCAACTTATGTACACAAAACTTGTTAAGCCTTTTTCGCGTGAACGAAAACTAACAACGCCATCGGGCAGATAAAATTCTCCCCTTCCCGATAGTGCTCTTGGTTTGCGTGAGCGCACTTCGGTTCTCGTGAAAAAGACTTAGCAAATTATTTACAAAAGTTGATATGCCCTTTTCAAATGTTACGCGAGCATTATTCATTTTTAGTCCCAGATTTTTAGTAAACAGGGCCTTGCTGTTGTGTCAATTTTTTTTCAATAGATGAACAAAAGTTCACCCGTGCACATGAATTTTGTTATTATTTAGCTTTTATTAGTTTTTAGCTTTTTTGTCACCGAATCAATTTTATCGGATCTGTCTCAAAATCGTTGGAATACCTCGTAAAATGTTTCTGTAGACAAGCATAAGAAATAATAATAGTTTAAAAATGGCAGATAGTAGCTCCCGCGTTACAAAAAGTGAATTAAGTGCTCTATTGAAGGAACAACATCAACTAAGGGCCACCGAAACTAAACTCAAGTCGATGATTGACAAAATCAATGGTCATCTCAACCAACTGCTGGTAGGAATAATACAAAAACGAATAACAAAAAAAAATACAACTAACAAGTGTTGATGATTGTCTTACAGGTCGAAGAATTGCAGCTTAAATCAAGAGAATTGGACCACCAATACCCATCAAGCAGTGGACAGACCCAAGAAATTTGCGTCAAATCTGAATCTAATGTTTCTTCCGATCAAATCAACAGACAAGAACTCAATTTAAATATCCAGCATAACAAACTAATGAAATCTTTGGAGGAAAGTGAAGAAGAGGACGAGTGATATATGCATTGCCATCGAGACGAGAGATGATCTTTTACCAGTTCTTTAAGATAATCAAATTTTTATTGAATTTGACTCTAAATACAACTTAAAATAAAAATTTCTAACGAACTTACTTCTGCTCACTTGTACTCTCTGAGGTCGTGTCCTTTCGTTCGTTTGCTTCTGGAGGTTTACTTGCTTTTAATTCTTGGTCTATCCGCTCCTTAGCTCGGAATACCTTCGACTGCAAATAAAACGATCCGCCCTTGGATTTATCATTGACTTTGAATAGATGTTCGTAGTTCTTCTGAATTTCCACAGGGTCTAGCTTTGTAATATTTAGAATTTGTTGAGCTTCTTCTAAAGTCAATCCTGTAACAATAAAAAAAAACTTCAACCAAACAGCATTTAATCATTAGCACAGCGGAAACTTACCGGTTTTTAAGTTAGCCGCAACGCGATTTTGTCCCTGTTGGCCACCACCGGCTCTCTTGGCGGCTTCCTGTGAAGCCGCATACTCTTGCTTCAGTGCACGGGCGAAGGCTCGACCAACAATCTGTGAACCCAAGACGATAATTTGAGCGATGTATTTAGCCATCTTTCCACGAAGCACCGGTTTCCACTATGTACAGAAATCAAATTACTATCACACAGGATACACACTATATAGTGCCTGTTTTACACTTCAATAGTCGACAAACGACAATTTACTTCATAGTTTCGCTATTTTATTGTTATTTAACAACATAATCTAAAGGCAAGAAAGAATCTTGCTTTGGAAGTTACACAATCGAATCAACTTCACGAGGCGACAAGAAAAATGACATTTCATTTCAAAATTTATCACGCGTTTGCATCACGCGGGGATAGGAATCTAATAAACACGTTAAAAGTATTTTACCCTTAGTTACAATAGAGATTTTCACGTCCGGTTGTATTGGTGCGATATGTGAGAGTGTGTTAGTGAATATCCGAGGAAAATACAGTGCTAACATTTGAAAACGGCACAAAAGCCATTTGTAAACAAAAGGTTTGTGGGCCCTTTACTGACTACTTGAAGTAAACCCACGGAAATTTTCACCTTCCTGACGATGCTGTTGGTTTACGTGGGCGTTCTTCGGGTAGCGAGTAAAGGGCCCACAAACCATTTGTTTACAAATGGCTTTTGCGCCGTTTTCAAATGTTAGCACTGAATACATAACAAATCGATGTCAAACTCATTTTGACAGATCTCCTTTCATACATTTTTTATGTTAGCCAGAGGAAAATAATAAACAACTTTACACGGCGTTGCTACCGCTAGTGTGAGTGCGTTAAACGTCACTAATCTCTATATACACAGACAATAAAACTAGCCAAAGCTTCAGTTTGTTAAACCCAAATTTTAGTTAAGCGACCTCTCTCCGGACCATTAACGGAAACCATAATAAAACAACGAAATTCAAATGATTTTTACTGCTGAATTTAGAGTTCATAAAAATGTATTGTTAAATTGTTGTACCGGAGAAAAAAATCGTAACTCCAGTACCAGAAGGTCCCGAAGAAATGTGCTCAACTTTTTGACTCAGCTCTGGTACCCTCTTCGGTCCCAAGCTAATCGATGCACTTCTCGAAACATAGGAAAATCCACAAACCCCTCACACGGTAGCCGCAAAATACCCAATCAAGAGCAAATTTTCATTATGTCGTAAGTAACATTCACACCAATCCGAGAAAAATAAAGTTTTGTTTTGATGACCGAAAAGTTATTCCTATTTCCAATTAAACACATATAATCTCATAGTGATAGCAATGTTTAACATATTTAGCAGGGTTTTAATCATACAAATGCAAATCGCTAGCTTTCATGCTAATATATACTGGTTTTTGAGTCAAAAGTTATTATACGTCGTTTGGTGGCCCCTATTGTTACTTAAGTCAAAGTGTATTTACCATAATATTCGGAAGAATTATCAATTACGTCTCCTTACGTGCAGCCCATTCATTATTTTAGGACCACCGAAATCATCTTAGCAACAAACAGTTCGATTTATTCACTTTAATAATGAAAAAGCGAAACGACGATATAGTGTAATAGCAGGAGCATCGATTGACACTGATAGCTCGACTTTGTTTACCTTTGTTACTTTCGACGTAATGAAAATTTTCTTTGATAATGCGGGTAACTTTGATAGTATAATATAAAGATTAAATATACTCGCTGCGCTTTTTCTAAATTAGAAATATTGGTTCCATATTGTAGCTTAGGGTGTTTCCGTTGAAATCGTATATAGTTTTTATATAGTATGTGTTACATATTTTACAAACATATTAAAAAACAATTCAGGCATAACATTTGATAACGGTACAAAAGCATTTGTAAACAAACTTTCTAAGACCCTTTTCACGCGAACCAAAGTACGCCCACGCAAACCAACAACATCATCGGATAGGGGCAACTATCACCTTTCCGAGAGTGATATTGGTTTGCGTGGGCGTACTTTGGTTCGCGTGTAAAGGGCCTTAGAAAGTTTGTTTACAAATGCTTTTGTGCCGTTATCAAATGTTATGCCTGAATTTTCGTATTTTTCGCCTGTTTGAAAAAGCACTCAAACCATCACTTATGAAATGAATTTCCGATATAGCCATCATAAATTCAATGTCGTAATCTTATTGCCTATTTTTTTATATAATAACTCTATTTGTACAGGCTCAATCGAATAAACTTTACAGAGCCGAGTTATCCTTTACGTTATACATTATTACTGTCTTATATTTAAAGTTAAATCCGAGTACTCGCGGTTGTCTCGAAGTTAGTGTAGATTTACAATTTTTTGGATGGGAAAAGGGAAGAAGGAGGTTTGATATGTGGTTTACGATACAACTATTTAATTAATCCTAAAGCATGAAGTTATTTCTATTCATCTTGAAAACAAACAATGAAAAAAAAAACCCACACGTACAAAATACAACCTAAACACAAGGTTAATCAAACTTACAATCTTAGGTTAATATCCTTAAAGTAAACATATATGAGTTTCATAAACTCCAGATCGCGCCTAGCCAAAATATCCCGAACTGGAACATTAGGTTGTCTACCTCGAGCCCGAAGGGGAACATAAAAATGTGATCTGACTCCACGATACTCCGCACAAGACCAAAGGATGTGATCAGCGTCCTGGTAACCTTGTCCACATTCACAGAGATTGCTGTCTCCCAACCCCACACGGAACAAGTGAGCGTTTAGACAATAGTGATTGGACATGAGACGAGACATCACGTGTATGAAGTCTCGACTCAAGTTCAACCCTTTGAACCATGCAAACTTCGACACCTTAGGGATAATTGAATGTAGCCATCGTCCCAAGCTCCCTTCACTCCATTGATGTTGCCAGCTAACGAGCGACTGCTGACGATAAATAGAGAAAAATTCACTATAGGCGATCTGTCGATCATAAATGTCGCCTTCCATAGCGCCCACCTTCGCAAGTGAATCCGCCTTCTCATTGCCCAAAATTGAGCAATGCGAAGGGACCCACGCGAAGATGATGATGAAAGAGCGCACGGATAAAGCACTAAGCACCTCCCGTATTTTCAAGAGAAAATACGAGAAGTGCTTTACTCGCCTAATGGAACGGATAGCCTCGACAGAACTGGGACTATCCGTAAAAATAAAGTAGTGGTCTGGAAGAAGTGAAGCAATAGTTTTCAAAGTGTAGTGAATTGCTGCCAGTTCAGCCACATATACAGAACAAGGAGCTTCAAGTTTTCGAGAGGCGCTATGAAATTCATTAAATACACCAAAACCAGCGGACTCCTCTATTAGAGATCCATCTGTGAAAAACGTTCTTGTAGAATCAACATGGCCAAACTTTGCAGAGTATAATGACGGAGCAATCATAGGACGATGATGCTCTGGAATTCCGCGGATTTCCTGCGTCATAGATAAATCAAAATTCACTGAATTGCCGAAATCGGAGAAGACTACACGATTGGGAATATTTCTTGAAGGGCTGACATCCTGTGTTAAATATAGGTAGTACAAAGTCATAAAACATGTTTGAGGATTTAGCTCCAGAAGCTTCTCAAAGTTTTCGATCACCAGTGGGTTCATTACTTCGCAACGGGTGAGGAGCCTCAGAGATAACTCTGAAAAACGGACGGATAGTGGCAACATGCCCGCCAGCACTTCGAGACTCATAGTATGAGTCGAGTGCATGCATCCTAACGCGATACGAAGACAACGATACTGGATCCGTTCCACCTTAATGATGTGGGTTTCAGCTGCCGACTGGAAACAAAACTACCATATTCTAGAACCGATAAAATCGTTGTCCGGTACAACGTTAGAAGATTTTGTGGATGGGCTCCCCACCACGTTCCAGTAATTGATCGAAGGAAATTGATCCTTAGTTGGCATTTTCGTCTCAGATACTCAATGTGGGATCTCCAGGTGCATTTGGAATCGAACCAGACCCCGAGATATTTAAAAGACATGGAATGAGTGATCGGCTTACCTAAAAGTTGAAGCTTCGGTTGTGCTGGGCTATGCTTCCTAGAAAAAACGACCAACTCAGTTTTCTCCGTGGAGAATTCGATACCTAACTGAATAGCCCAAGTAGACAAATTGTCCAAGGTATCCTGTAAGGGTCCTTGCAGGTCAACCTCTTTTGGCCCTGTGATAGACACTACGCCATCATCTGCAAGTTGTCTCAACGTGCAATTGTCACTAAGACAGTCATCAATTTCTCTACCGTAGAAATTGTACAAAAGGGGGCTTAAACATGAGCCTTGCGGGAGACCCATGTAGCTAAATCGAAAAGCTGCAGAGTTTCCATGAGAAAAGCTCATATGTTTTTCTGACAGCAAATTGTACACAAAATTATTCATTAATGGAGACAATCCACAAACGTGGAGTTTCTCTGAAAGAACTTCAACGGATACTGAATCAAAAGCCCCCTTGATATCTAAGAACACAGAAGCCATTTGCTCTTTCTTAGCAAAAGCCAACTGAATTTCCGAAGAAAGCAACGCGAGGCAGTCGTTCGTTCCCTTACCCCTACGGAAACCAAATTGAGTATCTGAAAGAAGGTGGTTCGTCTCAACCCATTTGTCGAGGCGAAAAAGGATCATTTTCTCCATCAATTTCCGAATGCACGACAGCATCACGATGGGCCGATACGAATTGTGATCCGACGCGGGATTATCAGGCTTTTTAATGGCTATCACCCTCACTCGTTAGACATAGAATTAAGTGAATCTTGTTACACACAGTGAACAATGAATTATCGGCTCCGTAAAGCTAACGAGATTGAGCCTTCCAAATAAACGAACTAGATAAATAACCCTCACTCGTCTCCAATCATCGGGAACAATATTGAGCTCCAAAAACTGATTGTACAAGTTCAACATGCGCCTCTTAGCGACGTCTGGGAGGTTTTCAGCAAGTTGAACTTGATTCTATCAGATCCCGGCCCCCGGGGCAGAATTGCCACACGAAAGAAGAGCGAGTGAAAGTTCGACTATTGAAAAAGGCTGACTGATTTCGTCTACCGAATTCGCGGTTTTGCGAGGAATCAACTGCGACGGCACGGAATCCGGACACACTTTTCGCGCGAATTTAAGAATCCATCGATCCGAGTATTCCTCGCTTTCGTTGTTAGTAGACCGGTTACGCATTCTTCGCACCGTACTCCAAAGCGTATTCATAGACGTTTCGCGCGACAATCCGTCTACAAACTGCCGCCAGTAACCCCGTTTTTTGGCCTTGATGAGGCTCTTGAGTTCGCGTTCAAGAGATGTGTATGCGTCGAAAT